CTCTCTCTCTCTCTCTCTCTCTCTCTCTCTCTCTCTCTCTCTCTCTCTCTCTCTCTATCGTTTACTGCAACGCTGAAAAAAAAAATTATCACTACCTTTGCTGTGACCGAACTTGTCTGAATTTTTTTTTTTTTTTCGAAAAGGTGCTACACGAGAACGTACTTTTACGACAATTTTACTTACGTCTTTTGTTCGAAATCTGTGATACTTTGCTTCATATTCTTTTTCTCGAGGATGCCTATCGCCTTCAAGAAAGCTGTTGTTTTTTTCATTATTTTCTTTCTATGCGCACAGTTCAAATATTGGGACACTCTTTTTTTTTTTTTCTCGCGGTGAACAGCTAAATCATGAGAAAAAGGAAGATATTCTCAGTACTTTTTATTTTTTTTCTTTTTAGAATTGAAACTTGAATTCGATGTAACACTCACTGCGATATCGATTCTGTGTAAGTTTCCGCGTTGTTTTCAAAGAACAAATATGATAGAGATTGGCCAAATTTTGAATTTGATTTCTTTTAAACATCGATCGAGTCCAAAAGTGACCAATTTCTACTAGATCTTCGTCTCAATATTGCCACAAGAAGCTACCAAATTCTGATTATTCATTTTTCGGTGCATGAATGTTCATGAAGTGTCACTCTATTCTCTCCTCAATCTTGATTGTGATAACTGTCGTGAACTGAATTTATCGGCACTCTCAATTTTCTATCTCTCTTCTTCAAATTCCTCCCTGTACCCTTTTTATTATCTTTACATACATATATGTACATACCCTGTTGCACATTTTTAAATTCCTTCTTCGAAAATTCCTCAATGAAAAAAAAAAAAAAAAAAAAGAAAAGAAACAAGAAACAATCGGTGTATTATTTTTTTTTTCTTCTTTCTCTCCACCCCTTGTGTCCTTATGAAATAGTAACGAGGAACGTACCTGATTGTGAGAAGCAGGAATGTAATTAATTACCTGAATTAAAAGACAAGAATTAAAAGTCGGCTAGATTGGTGTGTCCGAAGAACAGGCAGATCCATGGTGATGTAGTTGTTTTACTTTTCATTCCTAACATGGCAGCTATTGGACCACGTCCTTTTTAATCCCGCTCTGTGGATATATACGCCGGCTCCGGTGCAAACCCGGCTTTATTCGTACTTGGCCACAGAGTTCCTCAGTGACACGCAAATATATTCTAACGTAAGGAGAGTCTCCACAGTATTGCAAACGGTGCACACGCTCAAGTACTATTACTGGGTCGCCAATCCTCGAGCGAAGAGTGGAATCACTCCCAAGGGACTTGGTGAGTAAACTCGATCGGAACAATCGAACGCGTGTATCCATGCGATTTCGATCGATCGAGGGAGATACATTTTTTCACTGGTTGCAGACGGACCGAGGCCGCAGCAGAAGGACATTTTGACAATACGTTCTTACATTTTGTTATTTCTGAAGCAATTGATCATGATAGGGAATGGGGTGAAGGATGACGAGCTGCAGAGTATTTTGAATTATTTGACGACAATACACGAGGTAATTGGATGAAAATAAAAATCTCGAATTAAGTGAGAGATTGTAATGGAAATTTTTTAATATCGACATAGGATGAAAATTTACACGACGTTCTGCAAATGCTTATATCTTTAATGTCGGAGCATCCCTCGTCCATGGTGCCTGCTTTCGACGCGAAACAAGGCGTGAGGACGATTTTTAAGTTGTTAGCTGCGGAGAGCCAATTAATACGTTTACAAGCCTTGAAATTGTTGGGATTCTTTTTAAGCCGCAGTACACACAAGTAAGTGAAATAAACGAAACGTAATTGAAAGAACATATGTTATCGATAATGGTTGTTCGAATTCGCAGAAGGAAATATGACGTGATGAGCCCTCACAATCTCTACACGTTATTGGCCGAAAGATTATTGTTGAACGAGGAAACATTGTCATTGCCTACCTACAACGTTTTGTACGAGGTATACCGTATTAAAATACAAAAATTTCAAATTCTTCTACGTTATATTCTATCTAATATTACCCTAACCCGAGATATCTTCTCATCAGATCATGACGGAGCACATTAGCCAACAGATCCTGTATGCAAGGCATCCCGAACCAGAATCCCATTATCGGTTAGAAAATCCAAGTAAGATCCCAATCAATGTAACAATCGTTATTATACAAATACATCGACGTAATAATAATAATTGAATTCGCTTCAGTGATCCTTAAGGTAGTAGCGACTCTGATTCGACAATCAAAACAAACGGAACAATTGCTCGAAGTGAAGAAGCTGTTCCTCTCGGATATGACATTGTTGTGCAACAACAATCGAGAAAATCGTCGAACTGTTCTACAGATGTCTGTATGGCAGGAGTGGCTTATAGCCATGGCGTACATTCATCCGAAGAACACGGAAGAGCAAAAAATCTCGGACATGGTGTACTCGTTGTTTCGCATGCTTCTTCATCATGCCATCAAACACGAGTACGGTGGATGGCGCGTATGGGTGGACACGCTGGCCATCGTGCACTCCAAGGTAAATATAACGAATGATTGATCGTTGAAAATTAGAGAACTATTAGATTGAAAAGAAATTAGAGTGTTCGTCGATGATCGAAGGCCGATCCAAGAAAAATTAAAGCGATTTATCCTGATGATACTTCGTTTCAGGTATCCTACGAGGAATTTAAGCTTCAATTTGCTCAGATGTACGAGCATTACGAAAGGCAAAGATCGGATAACATCACGGATCCCGAGCTGAGACAGCAAAGGCCGATCAGTACCATTTCTGGCTGGGATCAGCAGCATTCAGGGAATAACGGTTACAACAAACCGTCACCCTGGAGCAATCAACAGACTCACGATGTACAACACGTGGAGAGGAATTACAAGGTTGAATATATCGAACATAATTGACGATATTCCTCGATTTCAAAGTGACAAGACATTGAAAAATCACGATACTATGTTACACTATCCACTACTTTTTGAATTGGTGAGTACAATGGTTGGATATTTCCAGGAGTTCGACACAACGGAGGGCAACGACAGGCTGGAGGAGTCGTGCAGCTGCGACTTGAACTCGATAGACAACACGGAGAGCGACGGGAGCCCGGCGATCGTGAAGTCGCGAAGCGAGACGTTGGACACAGCGCAGTCGAGCGAGGCGATATCCCTGGACTCGAGGCTGAGCGACAAACCAGAGACACCGACGACAGCCCGAGAAATTCACACGGACACGCCTACGATCCTCGAGGAAGGGAACAGCGAGGCCGCCTCCATCCCGACCACCCAAGAAACCAGCGAGGCGATATCGATCGAGAGCTCGAGCGACTTCTACAGCGAGGTTCACAAGATCGAGGGCTCGAGCCCGGATTCCATGGTGGTGCAAGACGTTCTGAAGAAAGACGACGATCCTTCGGAGTCTAAGTCGCGCGACTTGGAACCTGTCTCTCGCCGACCGTCCCCCTCAGCTGAGAAGAAAGCGGAGGAGAGCGCGCAGCCGAAACAGGAGGAAGAGCGGTCGAAGGAAACGGCGGACGAATCGAATATTGTTGCGACGTGTTCCGACGCGCAAAAGGATCACGAAACCGAGGAAGCTGGAAAAGAGGAAGCTGAAGCGGAGCGGGTCGAAGGTGAAACGATTGAGGCAAACGTCGAAGCTGGGACCGAGGTGGAAGCGGATGGCGAGACGGAAGTCGAGGTTCCCTCGAGGGAGAGCTTGGAGGAGATGTCGAGTTCGAAGGACGAGCTCGTCGAAGAGACTTCGACGGAGATCGTTCTCGAGAAGGAAGAACAGGGAAGGGAGAAAAGCGTGGGGGACGTTGCCGCTTCGACGGAGCGAGTGCACGATTCGGAGCACGCGGCGTCATCCGTTCCCTCGAGCGGGACGCCGGAGCCATTGATCATCAAGGATATCGAGAAGCTGCAATTGGAGAACGATCGCGAGGTGATCGACAGTGATACCTCGGAGGCGTATTTAACACCGACCGAGAATCAAGATAATCTGGGCGATATGAAAGCGAAGGAGGCGGAGAGGATGGAGGAGAGCGGGGAGAAGGGGGCGGGGGAGAACGTCGAGGTGGAGGAGAAGAGCGGAAACGGGGACAGCGAGGTGAAAAATTCCAATTGCTCAACTAGCGTAATAGAAAGTGACGTGAGAGCCGAGGAGGAGAAGAAGGTAGACGTAGAGGAGGAGGAGGATACGGTGGATACAGTAGTGACTAGTGAGTTAAGTAGTGAGAAATGCGCCGTGGACTCTGTGAAAGAGGAGAAAAGTGCCGTTGTTAACGTTGATGATGATGATGATGATGATGTTAACGGGGTGAAGGTTACTGACAAACATTCAACAAGGGAGCCGTCCACTATTTCTACTAACGTAAGTGATAATCAGTCAGACATTCCAGTGAGAACCGAGAACGAGGTAGAAGTAATAACAGATAGTGTTTGTAGTAATAGCGATATTCAAAGTTCTGTAGATAATGTGACGCAAGTGCCAAATCCTAAACAGCAAATTCCAACAATATCTACGGTCTGTGATGCAAATAAAAATATGCCCGACGGTGTGCCTCAAATCGTTAGTTCTACGGTGGTTGCGAGGGATAATTCTTTGTTGAATGAGTTAACTTCGGATCACGTAGATGCTCATCGCAGATCCAGCTTGCCGGCTGTGTCCTCCGAGACGACCACCGACGATAACGTAAACGAACCTCCCTCCTTACCTGTCCCCTTGCGGAAAACATCGTCACCTCAGAAACGACCAAGGAGTGCCTCAACGTCCACGCAAGTGGACCCCAATCATTTCGGTAAGGAATCGTATCTCTAGTTTTTTCTCGTTCCTCTCGTTTTTTTCTTTTTTATGCGATATTTCGCAAAAGAAACAAAAAAACAGAAAAGAAAAAAAAAAGAAAGAAATAAGTGAGAAAAAGAAAAATTACCCGAAATTTCACCCACGAATAGAATCAAAACGATCGAAGCAAGGTAATCCTTCTACGAGACCAATGTTCAGTCCAGGGCCGACTCGTCCTCCTTTCAGAATACCAGAGTTCAAATGGTCTTACATACATCAAAGATTACTCTCGGATGTTCTCTTTTCGTTAGAGACGGACATTCAAGTTTGGAGAAGGTATGGATGAACGCGTACTTTTATCACTTTAATCTTGAACAATGTTGAGACACTGATTCGATTGAAATTCAATTGATGATACGCCGATCGATGATGTGTTCCAGCCATTCAACCAAGTCGGTGCTGGATTTCGTGAACAGCAGCGAAAACGCAATTTTTGTTGTTAATACCGTTCACCTAATTTCCCAACTGGCCGACAATCTTATTATCGCCTGTGGAGGATTGTTGCCGCTTCTAGCTTCGGCGACCTCGCCAAATGTACGTATAAACACGTCGCTTCACCCACTTTTGATCTTCACGATAGAACAGCGTATAGCGGGCGAAAAACGTTCATTTTCACGGATTACTTTTTTTTAATTGGTGCTTGGATATTCATAGAGCGAATTGGATGTAATTGAACCAACTCAGGGGATGCCAATTGAGGTAGCAGTTTCTTTTCTGCAAAGACTAGTCAACATGGCTGATGTACTTATCTTCGCCAGCTCTTTAAATTTCGGTGAACTGGAGGCTGAGAAGAATATGTCTAGTGGCGGTATTCTAAGGCAGTGTTTAAGACTGGTTTGTATTATCGTCCACGTAGCAAATTTTATTCCTCCAACACGTACATCCATTATTGTCACGTCGTGTAATAATTCGAATTTCATTTCAAAGAGAGAGAGAAAAAAAAAAAGAAAGGAAAAGTAAAAAAGAAAGAGAGAAAGAAAATCATTTGATATTGACCATAGTTGGCCCGATTTAATCTTTTTTGCGAATCATTGTAGTATGTCGATAGAACAGAAAGATGAAGTAAGATTGTTGTAAAAATTCATATTAAATGTTTGTAATGCACAATTAATTAGATTCGATGTTTCGAACGTGCATTCTGATAAACAAAATTTGTTACATGATTAATATACACAAAACACTAGATGAACTTCGTTTTTCGGAATTTTTAATATGATTTCTTTTTTTTTTTTTTTCTTTCTAATATTTTTGGTTCCATTTCATATATGCGAAATTTAACTTTAGTAATGATAAATTTTTTTTCAAAATTTTCGAAAACCTGGAATATTGAATGTTCAAATAAATTCAAGCAATTCTATCAAGCTTTATTATTAATTTTCCACGAAAGACGAAGTAGATCTAAATTAGGATATTACAATAGAATATTTATATAGTATGCTTCGTGTTAATTCTTTTTTTTTTTTTTTTTCTTTTGGTATATACATATTGATGTTTTTCATAGTGTCATAGCACATAAACTAATCTATATAAAATCATTTAAAATTACCGGATATAATAAAAATATTGAAAATAAGAAATTGCATATCTCATGTGAGAAAAGTTAAAGAGAACGCACACTTTAACACTATTGTAGTTTAACACAAACAATTAATCTTCATTATTCAATAGAAATAGTTTTATTATTAAATCAGTGTGTTAAATTAGTCGTAATATTCTTAGCTCTCGTATTATGTATAACATAGAACTTCGGAAACATGTATGTTTTTTTTTTTTTTACTACTATATTTTTTTGTTATATTCATCTGATGAAATGCTTCTATAGGTCTGTACATGTGCCGTTAGAAACTGCTTAGAGTGTAAAGAACGTGGCAGATCGTACAGCATGTTAGGTCGGCAGATTGGTTCTAGTAATAAATCACAGCACATACAGTCTCTTATACGTGGAGCTCAAACATCACCCAAGGTATGTCTCATCTGATCGAACTTAATTTATATATATATACATATATATATATATAGAGAGAGATGTGTTATTGTCATTTGTCATCTCACCATTGACAAATTACATATCATATACTATATACTTATTCAAAGCCATGTCGTATAGAGAATAGAATTTACAGTGATCGTTAACATCATTTAATGACGGTTTAGCATAATAAAGTTTCTATTTTTATAGAACATAGTGGATAATCTGGCACATCAGTTAAGCCCTGTCAAAGATCCTGAGAAATTGCTGCAAGATATGGACGTGAACCGCTTAAGAGCTGTGATATACAGAGATGTTGTAAGTAATAATAATTAATAACGATGCATAGCACACTTGAAAATTTAATTTAAAATTTTGATTTTCGAAAGTATCTCACGACTCGATTCAACTCGACATACAGATAATATATCATATTATGTAAAAAAAAAAATACGCTAAATTATATCGTTCTACACTTTACATTATAATTAACTGTATTTTCGAAAAGTTACAAATAAAACTTTTACTTTTCGTATAAAAAACTTCAGAAGAAATTAAAAATTTTCTCGTCAAAATCCGCTCGAAATATAGAGAAAACTATGCCATTGAAAACCCTTTTTGTTTTATCCCGATATCTCAATCAGTTGTTGAGTTATAAGGATTCAAAGTTTCCCCATAGTAGTTAAAACTGTGCGAAGATTATGAATGGCTCCGCGATCCAGTAACCTACATTTTTTTCCTGGAAATGCGTACTACGTTTTACTAGGAATCGTGTCTGTCACTTGTCTGGAGTTTGTGATAGGTCAGCGAAACAAGTGCGAGCAAGAGGTCTGAGCAGGAGAAAAGAACGGAAATAATAAATGAATAAAAATTACGCTTTTCTTACACGATGATATCTCGGGAACCGGAAGTCGTATCGAGATAAAACAAAAAGCATTTTAAAGGGGAAGATTTTGCGCTTCCTATGATCTTTCTTTCATCGATCTAAAGTTAATACTTTCGGAGTTATAGCGGTTTAAAGTTTTCCTAATTTTAATAGAGTTGAATCACATTTAACTAAATGAATAAAAATTACGCTTCTCTTTACACGATGATATCTCGGGAACCGGAAGTCGTATCGAGATAAAACAAAAAGCATTTTAAAGGGGAAGATTTTGCGCTTCCTATGATCTTTCTTTCATCGATCTAAAGTTAATACTTTCGGAGTTATAGCGATTCAAAGTTTTTCTAATTTTAATAGAGTGAATCAGAATTAAATATTAAATCAGATTTAAGTAAATGATTAAAAAAAATGATTAAATTACACTTTTTAAAAGGAAGTTTCGCGCTTTTAATAATCTTTAGTTCAGAGACAGGAAATTATTATCTTTAAAGTTATAACGGTTTGAATTTTTTCTTATTTCAATCGAATCTTAAGCTAAATTAATAATATGTATTTACATGAAAATCTATTTTTTTCATTTTAGGAAGAAACCAAGCAGGCCCAGTTTCTGTCCCTCGCTATAGTTTACTTCATCTCTGTACTGATGGTATCAAAATATCGTGATATATTGGAACCACCAATATCCCAACGTCCACCAAGTCCAATTCAAACAATACAGACTAATGGTGCTAGTTTAAGACCAGGTAGCCCTTCAGGTAAGATATTCATTATATTAAATAATTTTTTCACACTATAAATTGATACAAAATCTAATGAAATTCAATTGATATAAATGATTGGTTAATATTCAATAAGAAAGGAATTCTGTCTTAATATCATTTTATCCAGGAGCATTGTTTTCATGATAAGTTTTTAATGTAATGTTCATTGTACAATTTATTTGATCTGAATATTAAAATAATTAATATTTATGTAACCAGATTACACAGCAAATATCATAATAACTTCAATTTGTGGAGATGAATGTATTCGCGGACATTTACAGGGATTTTAAAGAAATAATCATTCAAATTTATGATATTTTATTATATGTATGTTTAGATTTTCAAAAATACGTATTCGTTAATTCTCAATTTTGTATGGAAAATATTGTTTGTTTAAAAATAATAATATCAAATCATTACTTCAAAACTCTTACATGTCAGATATGCATTATCATATTTCTCTGAATATTGTGCTCACATTTTATCAAATATCAAAATTAATTTTTTTCTGTATAGTAAACAAGATACAACATTAGAGCATGATTATCAACAATTAAAGGAGCATGTTTCTTACATACATACAATGCAAAAGAAAAAAAAATTGTATAAAATTCATTTAAATTAAAAAGAAAAACATTCAATAGAAACGAAGCTATGCGAAAACTTAATATTGATAATAATTTTAGCAAATATTTTACAATTTGAAATTGATGTGATTGGACCGTTAGAAGATTAAATGATAATCTTACGACATGACACGTATATATCTTAGCTGCTATGGAACACTATGCACTTTAACTGTGTAGCGACAAATCGAATAGCACATTTACACTGAATAGAAAGCATGTCCAATTGCACCGTGTGAATTATTTTTCTATGTATCTGACAGTGAGAGTTTTGATGTTTGTCGAATGCATTAGCACTACTTTTTTTTTGTTCTTTAATTTAGACATATATTTTGTAAATGTTACAATTATATTATGTTATAAAACAAACAAAAAAAAAAAGAAAAAGAAAAAGAATGTTGACCACAAAAGACTATAACGAAACAGAACAACGTACAAGCAACCATGTACTCTCTACGTATATCTCTTCTTTAAATCATACGATGCTCCTAAATTTAATATTTTCAATTTTCTTCCACTTATTTAGTTGTTCTTTCTAAAAAAAAATATATATATATATATTTTTAGTTTCGCGCCGTAATCTTTGTCGAGTTTTACTGGCAAGAGAAATTTACAAAAAAAAAAAAAAAAAAGAAAAGAAAAAGAAGAAATAGGACACAGACGGTCGAGAATCGTGGTAACGTGGTAAAATGTGGTTCCTCAGCAGATGGGAATGGTGGTGGAGGAGGGCGGCCCCTGTTTCCACAGTGGTCTCACCACGTGTACCCACAGTTCCTCCCGGGATCTCACCCTAACGCCAATGCGAATGCCAATGCCAATGCCAACCACCACATGAACCAGCACCACCACCAGCACCCGCTACCGGCTGCCAGGCACTCTAATCGCCAGCCCCCCTCCAACTATTACCTCCCGAATCACCACAGTAATCATTACAACCATCATCCGAATAACCATAACTACCATCGTCATCATCATTACCATCATCACAATAACAACAATCATCATCATACGCTTCAAAAACATATCGATCAGCCCCGAAATCTCTGTCATAGAAACTCCGGTGTTGGTCTGCAAGGTAACTCGATTGCCCTTGAACGATTGTGTACCACATGGAATGCTCGAGTTTCGTTTTTTCGTTTTTATACGCCTGCTCGAATACTTTTTGCCCGATTTGATGAATTATCGACACATTTCTCTTTTCGTAAAACTCCTTCCCACGATTCTTATTCTTCTCGAATTATTGTTCCACTCGATTGTGCTC